TGATGAATTACATGGCATTATGGATTGGTGGGGTATGCATATAGGAGGGGGTCAGACTTGAAGAGTCTAGATCCAAAGGATGTCACACACAGGTCAACAGCGGAGTGTGCAAAATAATCCCTAAATGTTGAGCCTCCGAGCGAATGCTGTTAATACCAAACTCCTTCCCTCCTGTACTGCACTGCATTTAGTCTGGTCCCCTAGCAACTACGTGGTTATTTTTGAAGGCATATTCTGCAGCACTAGGTCCAAAGGTGTTATGGCATCTGTTGATCATTGTCAATACAATTTAAGCTGTAAGACTTTTTATGCCACACTTTAAATCAATATTTGGTGACAACAACCTGCTATTAAGTATGTTGTATCCTGCCAGATTTTGTCCCTTGCACATGCGTAGGCACTCGCATCCACGTGCCCACCCCCACCATCAAAATGCAGGGTTTTGGGGACAGACTTTCACCGACAGACTTTGCTGTTTTTAATATGTGAACCATAGGAAAAGAAACGTGTTCGAATCAGATGAGCAACCTGCTGCGCTCTCTATGTGGCCTTTATTTTCCCGGGTGGAATCCCTTATCCCTGAAACATGCTGCAAAGGACATTCGTGATCGAGGGCAATGCCCCATTACCCTGCATGCCTCTTGTCTTGTAAGCAAATCTGCTAAAAAACATAGGCAACGTGCAATGGAAAGGGCTGATGTGCATAAAAACGTGCTGCTTCCTGAAAAGAGCCTGAAAACGGAGTCAACAGAGCATTGAGATGATGGATATTACGGTTGTAATTTGCATCTATTTTATCAGTGCCTGGTCTAGGAAAAAAAAGTATTTAATACTATTTTTTTTTTTTAAGGATGTATAAAGCACCATTATTTTATTTTATTGGTTTATGAAACGGGCAAAATCAATGTCTGTAGGAAAGGTAGTGGCTGGACCAGCACCCCCATGGTGCACTGGTTATCATGCCTCAGTTGGTATGCAAAGGAACCAGTTTCTAACTATGAAGGGGTTGTTAAATCTTCATAGCCCGTTCTGTTTTGGACCATCTACGTTATATACCCTCTCCTGCTAGATTCTGCACATGACAAAAGTAGAAAGCCCAAAGGAGTTCCAGTCCACTTGGACAAGAGATATCCGAGGGTCTTTTACACCATCATGCTCTGGTATGCTGCCTTAATGGCACAGGAGAACAAATGTTGCACCTTTGCATTGCTCAGAGGTTTTGAAGGTTAAGTAGAACTTAAAGGATCACTCAAAAATACGACAAACGTTGTGTGGAGCCCTGTCCTTTTTTTTCTTTTGTACCCAAAACCGATAGTGGAAGTAGCCATAGTTTTGGGTATGGACGGTAAGTCATTTTATAAGAAACGTGCATAAGGCTCTGGTTGAATTCAGATTCAGACCAAATGGGGTAAGGAGCAACAAGCGTCTCTTGTATATCTAAGAAAAGGCGAGAAGATGCACGGGGCAATCCATGAGGTCCTTTCTTTCTCATTATGTTTAATTTAAAGTAGGTATTGAATGAGTACCTCTGGGCTGCAGTCCTGCTCCTTAAATGTATGCTTAATTTAGCACAGTGATGGAGACATGGGATTCACTAGGTTAATTTGCCTTGTATTTTATTCTCTCTCCTATTCACACTCACTTAAGCTCTCGTTGCAAAAATGCATATGGCATACAGCCCTTATAAAACCTTATAACTGGGAAAAACACAAGGTGGCAAAATGGATGCTAGTTGTGATGTTAGAAGGAAAAAAAAAGTGAATTCATAGGGAAGCAGAAATTTGAACCCCTGTCATGGTAAAAAAAGTAACTGAGTGAAACATCTAACAAAGAATTAATGGGGAAATAGATGTGTGGTGAGAGGCATAATTGGAAAAAACTACAAACATCAATAAGCATATACTTAAAAATAAGTATGCTTTGTATGTCTGTTTAGCAGTCTCATAGCGCCTACAGTGACGATTTCCATGCCTGATGGATGTTGTCAAGCTTCCCAGCCCAGGATGCATTCCTCTAGCATTTTCAACCAACAATGAAGCAATAATATCTTTTGTGCAGACCAAGGGGCAGCTGGTACATTCCCTCCAGAAAGGTTGCAAGAACAAACTGCAGGCCAGCCATTTCTGGGAAACCACTACTATTATCCATGCTTCCTAGCATCACAGAACTATAGCGTCGGAAGGGATTTCAAGGGTCATCTAGCACAACTCCTTGCACTGGTGCTAGATTTACTATTCCTAACCCAATTTGCTGTTCCTATCTTGGATGTGAAAACATTCCTCAAAGACCAACCAGGCTCTTCAGCATTGATAGACTAAAAGGAAACAGAGTGCAAAGAGCAGTTATAGACAGTGCCTGTGCAATGATATTCACTGTTGGCTCTATCCCTTTTCCTTTCCCTCTACCGTGCTCTTTTATTTTCCTCTCTCATGTTCCATCTACAGAGACAGGCTGAACTTTTTTCACTTAGAGGATCTCTTTCTGTCCAAATCTGCCGCAAGGGCATCTGCAAAAGTATCTTGCTTGGACCCAACTTCCATCCAGGCATCCTAAAACAAGTTCTGCTGTTCATTAACTCTTCCTTGGATACTTGTCCTTTGGGGCTGGCTGATATTGGTCTGTCTTGCTTTTGTAAATTATGCATACAGATTGAATCTCTAGGCCATTTGGCTGGGGATACTTTAATTTATGTTTACTCGGGTACAATACTCAAGGTGGCTTTAACAACAGGATCTAAAAGAAATGTATCTATATCTATAGGGCAATAATATCCCAAAGCATTAATATATGGATGATAATACAGTGAGTCTCAGTGGAGTTTTCTCTGCTGGAGACTGAGACATGAGAGACTCCAGTCAAGGTTTTCCCTGGATATTAAATCAGACGGAGGGTGACCATTTAATCTACTTCATGTATTTCACTGCTACCATTCAACTAACTTTGCCAGGGATTGTGTGCACATAAGAAAAGATTAGTGTTCCATGCACTCAGTTTTTATTTAAAAAAAAAAATATATATATATATATATATATATATATATATGGGAATTTTTCAGGGCTTATCTTCAAAACGTAAAAACTGGGATGAAATTGGGATAAAAGGAAGAAAAGGGGGGAGGTCAATTTAAATCGGGGAAAAAAATCGGTGGTGAGAATGGCAGGG